TCCAGGTGCTGATAGGAGGTGCAGTCCAGGAACTGGAAGTTCTGGTTGTAGAAGCCAATGGTAGTTCATGGGTAGGGTAGAGATTGGTGGGCATGGATGTGCAGAGTGGAAGTGTGGCCTTAGTCCAGAAGATTTGGGCGGCTCTCAAAGAGCACCATCCAGATAGCTGGATGTTCCGGAGTGTTCCGGTGTTCCGGACTCTGTAGTTGTGGCTGCTGTTTCTGACCAGGGTCTCCATCTCAGCCAGGTAGGTCAAGGTCTCTCCCATCACAATGACATTGGTCTCCCTGCCTGTCATAGGCGACTTGAAGATGGCCCAATCTGAGATACAGATAACCGGGCTGCACCAGCAGCTGGGTCCATAGGGGATACAGAGAAGGTCTGGTATACGGTGAAGGCAAAGTGCTTATCTGCAGTGAACTCCTCCAAGGAATAATAGCAGGAGGACATATCAGGGTCCATACAATGGCTCTTGGCCAGACTCTGGGCAGGAGAGAGCTTCTCTGAACCACAGGGCATCTGCTGGCTTTTAGAATCCTGCGGCCCTGTTTTGAATTAAGGTTGCGATAAGATCAAGGCACCTTGATTTCCCATCTTTGTCCACCTAAGGTGACATGTGCTTCACCGTGTAATGCTTCCTCACAAGCCAGAAGTAAGAGGCAGTGTGGGCAATAATCAGAGTGTTCAGCTGCCTGGCTTCTTCCACCACGTAGGCACTGGACTGGACACTGTCCTTCATTGAATCTTGACTTTCAGAGGATCTCTGAACTTGGTCTCCTCCAGGCTGCTAGCAGGGAGCGTCACAGTAATGCACACATGACTGCAAGAGATAGACAGGCGAGTCCATTTTCAAGTTCTGTGTCAAACCCGGGACACGTTGCGTCCTCAGCTGTTGCCCTAGTGATCTCTGGCGTTGGCCAGTGTGCAGCTGTCGAGAGGTGTCGGCAGAAAGTCCGGCACCACTCCAGCGCCGGATCAGAATGTGCATCACTCTGGATGATGGTGTGAGTCGTGGAGCTTAATTTAAGAAAACCCTTTCCTTTCATTTTCAGCTGTTTGCGTCCATTGTATTTGAAGTGATCGAGGAAAGCAAGGTAAGAAAACTGCATGTTTAATGAACGCATTTCAAGAAAGTCCTGCCTTATTTTTCACTGGGCTAAAATGATGCTTACATCTTTATTTGTAGTTATTGTAAATTGTGTTCAGTTCTTCTGAAGGGTTTTCTGCACCTGTAGCTTGTGTAGAGCACTCTGATTAAGTATTAATTATTCACGCTGCCTGCAGGCATGCCTGTTGTTTCAGGTATATATAAATGCTTGCTAAGATTTTTGTATTTTACCATTTTAATGAACGTCAGTTGTCCCCCATTGCCTGACACGTTTGCCTCTGTTCATGCGTGTTTCGGTTTTGCTCTGGGTGTGTGCAGCCTGGGACAGATGTGTGGTGCTGCGTGTTGCAGCTGTTGGCTCGGGGGCAGGCGTGATTTTGCGCGGTGCTGTAAGGTGTTTTGATTAATTGCTCGCCAGGCACCCAGGACCCGGGCTGTGAAGAACGTGAGAAGGCATGCCTGCTCCGCCATCATCAAGATGTGCAGGGACTACCCATATTTCATTCTGGTGCGTAACTGGGCTTGTGCACAGAGGGGGATTTCTGTGGCTCTAGCACCACAGATTCATTTTCACAGACCTCGCACCTCGCTGATCCGCTGGCCACAGTACAGTCTTGCAGATCGGAAAAGAAAGAGTTGTTATTCACATGCATCATACGTGACCTCCAAAATCAAAAAAAAAGAGAGTCTAATTGCTTTCCAAGCTGTGATGGTTACCATACATGTTCTGTTTTTAAAAAAAATCCCACCCACTGCTTTGCACGTTACACATTACAAAGTAGACGTTGGTTGATTCAGTGCTCTCTAAATGCATGAATCTTCAGGTACAAGCGCTGAATTCAAACTAAAACCAGAGTGTGTCCCCTGCCCTGCAGCCCTGTTTCGACATGCTCTACACTCACGTCAAGAAGCTCTTCTCCAACGAGCTGCTGCTCACCCAGATGGAGAAGTGCGCCCTGATGGAGGCCCTCGTGCTCATCAGCAACCAGTTCAAGGACTACGAGAAGCAGAAGGCCTTCCTGGAGGAGCTCATGGCACCCGTGTCTGCACGCTGGCAGTCTGAGGAAATGAGACGGTAAGTCGGCTTTCTTCCTTGCCTGCTTGTTTTGGTGGAATTGCCAGCTGCCGGTCCTCATTCAGCTGCTCTCCTCTCACAAGAGCGCAGACACGTGTGCAAGAGCTGTCAGTGTGAACAATCTCAGCAGTTGCCCGTGTGCTCTTGTGTGCACTGAGCTGTGGTTTTCAGTACTGCGAGTGCTGGGAAAGTCCAGGAGTCAAACAGGTCAGAATCCAGGCAGGATGTCACTACAATGATTCCACTGGGAGAAAACGGAGAGCGTGACTTTTTCATCCTGGCAACAGTGCAGAGCCAGATACATACCTTAAATTCTTTGCTCGCTAGAGCTGTGACACGGCTCGTCTTCCTTCTCTCACTCAGTGTGCTCTGTGATCCGGGGTTCTTCCTGTCGTACGTCGGCGCCGACCAGAAGCTGAACGACCCCACCATCGATGATCAGAGTGGCATCAACAGGTCCAGGGTGAGCATTCTGGCCTTGGAGCCCAGCGGCCGCCCAGTCAGGCCTGACAGCCGCTCCCAGAGCTGCTCCTGCCTGCTTCAGCGGCCACCCAGTCAGGCCCGGCAGTCGCTCCCAGAGCTGCTCATGTGCAGAGCTCTAGTTCTTTATACCTTCTCTGTTTCCTTCCAGATGGGAGGTATTTATTAGATATGCATCTCTAAATCAAATCTAGGTGGACAAATGCAACCTTAGAAGGGGAACCTTAGAATGCTTTCTTTGGGTTCATTCTTAATGTTGAATACAGATTAACATCAGTCTTAATTTGTGTTTAGTTTTGTTCATGTAGCGTTCCCCTCTCTATTTTTGCTGTGATCTTGTGTCTTCTGGAGCTGCGGTTAGGGGTTAAGAGCGCACTCCTGTGCGCTGTGCTGTGGGCTCGGCCATGAGACGCTGCCCGTGAGCTCAAGCTGCTGAAGAGGGACAGGGGGTGGATGCAGCTCAGTGTTTGTCAGGTTGCACCACTGGAGGGAAGGAGTTGTTTCTCATATCTTCCTCATGGAATTCTTTCTCTTGTTTCAGCTATTGGAATGTGCTTAGGGAAATGTGCATTGCCTTTGATTATGAGCTTTGGCAGTATGGGGGAATTTGCACTATATCTCTAGGAGTAATCAAGAAATCTCTTTTTAACCAGGCGCGGTGCAGTTCAATAGAGATAGTTGTTTCCGGTCCTGTTGGTATCCCGCAGGTCGTGCAATTTTTTTCATGTACTTTGTAGTGATTTTTCCCTTGGAAACTTTTGATAGGGACAAAATGCGTTTTGCCATGAAATGAGTGTGTACGTGTCTGCTGGGGGGGGGATTTTGGCTCCAGCAGCATGGGGGGAGGGTCGGGTCAGCCTGTGGAGAGCTGTCTGGGTGCCAGGGATGGTCTGGAGGCCGAGCAGGCAGAGGCACTGCTGTGTGTGCAGTGGAGGGCAGCCTCAGCGCCAGCGCAGCCCAAAGCGATCCTTCTGTCTCTGAGCGGGCACTTTCCCTCTGTCCTGCACACCGCCTTCCCCATTCCTGCTCTGTCTGTTCAGATGTGCTTTTCTGTGTACAAGAATTTATCTCTTAAAAAGCAGCTTTCCTCTTTTTTTATTTCCCCGTTGTTTTTATGATTTATTTTTTGCCCCCACCTTCCCCCCCTTGACCTCTTCTGCTGTAGATCAGCTTTTGTGTGTACACCATTCTGGGCGTGGTCAAGCGGGCCCGCTGGCCTGCTGACCTGGAGGAGGCCAAGGCTGGAGGATTTGTGGTCGGGTTCACCCCCAGCGGCAGTCCGGTCTACCGAAACCCCTGCACTGAGCAGGTCCGAGCCCTGCTGCCCAGCCTGCTCACGCTCATCAGGTGGGTTCGAGTCGGACGTGAGTACCGAGCCGCCCTGGCGGCCTCTTGCTTTGCTTTGTCCTGGAGTGCGCTGCGCACGCGCTCTCCCATTGGGAAACCGTGGGAGCGCGGGGCACCGGGGCGCCTGGCTCAGTACTGAGGCCTACTTCTGGGAGTGGGCAGCAGTACTGGGGCTCAGACTGCAGAGAATTTCGAGCCTGGGCGGGAATTGTCTCCTGGACCGCAGCTCCCGTTCTCAGCCAATGGGAGTGAGCGTGCCGGGAGCCGTCACCTTAGCAATGCGCGCAGGACCACCTCTCATTGCTTTCCCAACGGGAGTTGGTACTGCCAGGGCAGGGGAGGAAACAAAGTCGTGCCTCTTTTTTTTTCCCCCTTTTTTCCCCCTCTAATCCTTGACCCTTTCTTTTTTTTTGGTCTTGAGGGAGGTCAATGTTTTCTCTTGTTGCTTTCAGTGGCAGGCAGTACTGCCAGTGCAGAAGCTTTCTGTGTCTTCTAGAGCAGGTGCATTTTCCCCTGCTAATTACCAGAGGGAACCTACGGTGGTCAGACAGGTGTGTGTAGCACAGTGCTGTGGACGCAGCTGGACGGGGCCAGACCGTAGCTGGCTGACCGACAGTCCTCCAGGTTGTGAGGTCTCCCTGCAGGGGGGTGCAGGGGAGCAGCTCTGGTGTTGCAGCACCTGGATCGGGAGTTCCTGAGGTCAGGAATATGAACGTTTACTCTCTCCAGATGCCCCCGTTCAACTGCCTGGATCCGCAAGGTCCTAGGCGCCCTTCTGAACCTCTGAGCGTGTCTGCCATGTTCGTGGCAGCCAAGGAAACGCATTGATTTGGATTGAGAACAGGGTCAATGTTTAGATCACAGGGGCTGGCTTGCCCTTCACTTCTGAGAAGAAACATGCATTTCTTCAGCCTGGTCTTCTGATCGCTACAGGCTGGGGAACTCGGCAGCTCCGGAATGCTCCCGATGTGTTTATTTATGCTAACATGATCAGCCAAGCCCAGAAGGGTTGTACTTCAGTGCAAACCGTTGTACTGGGATCTGAGCCGTGCCTTCTGAGTTGTATCTGGTCTTAATTTACTGAAGCCTTTACTCTTATCCAGTCAAGAAGATTACCTACAGTATGTATTGATGACTTCCTGCATGAAAGCATAAATTAACAAACAAGAGGAGCAATTTGACCTCGGTAGCGTATTTGGTTGCTGTTAGCTAATTGATCTGAAGATCTTATCCAGATACTTCCTAAAAGAAACCAGGGTATGGTTTCAACAACACGGCTGTACCTTATACCAGACTCCTGTTACCTCTGGAGAAAAGATGTGCCAGTTCTCAGTTTTGAGTGTGCTTTCCCTTCTTTTCCACTTGGGTCCGCTGGTGTGTATTTCACTGCACAGTGAGGTGACTTTGTTGATGGTTTTTAGGGTTTTGCATAATTCTGTCTTGAGCAATGCTGAGGGCATCGAAGAGTTCAGGCTAGTGGTGCATCTAGGAAGGTGATGCATTGTGCTGTATTGTTGCATTGTGTTACTGCTCTTGGCGTTGATGGAGCTGGGTTAACAAGTTCAGGGTTAACATGGAACCGGTGAGAGTCAGTGGTAGGTCCTTGGCATTGGGCTTTCATTTGCAATTGAGGTGATGCTGACCTTCAGGAGGTGGCGGCGTGCATAGTGTCTTTTGCCGTTTTAATTAAGATTAAGGCTTTCACAGAATAAGACAAAACACATGAGTGTGCTATTTTTGGCCAATTAAGTGGAGTATGAATCACCGAGCAGTGACCGTGCTGGATTGTGGTGGCGAGAGAACAGTCTGGAGAGTTTCAATTAGAAGGGTGAAGTTAGTGAGCTTGTGTCCTGATGAAGGCACACAGCGGGAGGACATGTTCTAAGGCATCGCTCTGTGTTTGGGAGATCATTAATGCTCCATGGTGAGGAAAGGGGTCTGGGGGCGTCCAGCTGCTCTGAGACAGTAGCTCATGTCAGAGCATCCTGATCTCTGGGCCATGCAGTGTGAAGAAAGAGAGGCCCAGCAGATCCAACACTGCCTCCACAACTAAGTAAAGGCGTGTGCACTGGTTGTGAGTCTGCAGTCTTGGATGACAGGTAAGTGAAAGGACCTTGCATTCACATTGCAATCTCTCGAGGTCTCTTATTGCTTTTTTCTCAGCGAGAGATTGCTCAGGTGTTGAGTCCCTCGGTGTTGAATATGCGGCTCGTATAACACTGAGGCACAGAGCGTCCAGCAGAGCAGCTGTGCGCAGAACCTCATGTTGAGGGCATCTTGCAGGGCCTGAAGATGTTCTCTGTGTACTCTGGGCATGGAAATGTGGGGAACACTGAACTGCTCTGATGTGTATGAAGTGGCAGGGCTCTGTACTACCTAGAGGTAACAGCAGTTATTGCTCTTTATTGTTTTTCTGAGAGAGGAATAAAGTGAGAAGATTAAGAATTGGGCCACAGCTGTAGATTAGCTTTTGTAGTATGGATTCTTCAGAGTTATTGGGAAGAAATGAAATTAACATTTGGAGTGGGATGGGCAGTACTGTGAAGTACTGTACTTTGTAGGAATACAAATGTGTGAGAGTTTGTGTAGTGACTCCACTGCTTCCTCTATGTTTCCATGCTGCGTTATTTAGCATAAAAAAATAATTAGCATCTGGTCCTCTGCAACATTTCGGCATTTGTCCAGACATATTGGCTGCAGTGATTCTCAGGTTTTAGTTCATGGACCTCTTTTCAAATCCTAAGTTTAGTAATGACCCTCAGGTGACCCTGCTGAGAGAGGAATGGGGAAGGGAGGCTACTCTCAGTCCTCTGTCTCTCAGCAGTCAACCCAGCTGCTGGTCCAGACTGGGTTGGTGTTTGCTTGTTTGTGAATTTTGATTTTCGATGAGTGGCCTAAAATCCCCAGCAACTCCAGCTCAGCTTTTCCAGTCAGGTGGCCGTCTGTCTTGACAAGTGGTGAGGGGGTTTGTGCTGAGTTACTCCCCACTGCAGTGCGCTGAGCGACAGTGACAGCGCCGGTGTCCTTGGATAAACACGTTCCGTATTCCAAACAACCAACCTGCAGGCCAGCCTTTCGACAGCAGCCCTTGTGTAAGTTGGGGAATTTCTGTCCCTGTCATCCTTCCTGTTGAACCCTTGTGAAATAAAAAGGTCTTCAGGGTTGTCTACTTCCACGCAGAGTACAGAATCGAGCAATGGTGTCGCTTTTCCAGCAACCTTTCCGGGTTTTGACTCTTTCATCTTGACGTTTGTGGTTGTTGGACAGGGAAACAGCCTTGAGTTTTTTTTTTTGTCATCTCTGCTCCCCGCCATGGTCTCACACATGTCCTCTGCTGCTGGAGTCTTAACTCCTCTCCAGGAGCAGTTTCTCAGCCTTTGCAATCCAAACAGCTGTTAGGAAAGTCATTTTCGGGGCTTGCTCTGGATTTTTGTCTATCTGCCTCTCCTGTCAACAATAACCCTCTTTCTTAAGCTTAAAGAATTCTCTGGATTGGTCATTGCGCTCGGGGTGCTTTCTGGTGAGACGTCATTTCTGCTCGACACGTTTCTTCACCTCTTGTAACTCTCGTCATTGTATTTGTGAGCTCAAAAAACTTTTCTGTCTCACATTGTAGTATTCCATCAAACTTAAATCCATGTACCTTTCATCATTACTGCCTTATTTTGTTTTTTTACTGCTTCCCTCTGTGTTGTTCAGCTTTGCTAGCAGTTGCAGAAATCTGTCCAATTGATTTGCTATTTGAACACAGGTGCTTTATTGCCATTTCTACCTACCTGGTGAAGCTGCTCAGAAATGTCAGTTCCTATGGGCTGTTCCTAGTACAGTATCTGATAAAAGCATTACTCTTCTTCACACAGCAAGTGATGTTGCTTAAGCACTAATGGAGAATTGATTGGGTTGGTATGTTTGAAGTGTGAGAAGCCACTCTCCCAGAGCCCGCTGGCATTGCAGGGGAATCTCATTTACAGATTTTGGGAATTTAACCCCTAACCATCCTAGTTCAGGACCTGCTGCACTGCTTGTTTTGTGAATGACATGGTTAACCTGTGTGTGTGTATCTTTGTTTCTTTTGAATAATGTTCAATATCCAGGCATTCCTTCTTCATCCACTCTCAAGGCAGGGGTTATCAAAGGTTCCTCTTCTGCCCTGTGCTCTGTGAATAAGGGTTTGACTCTTGGACCAACTGTCGCTTGCAGGATCCAGAACGACCTCTTCCTGCCTGAAAACGTGGCCAGGCTGAGCGAGACCTTCACCCGGGCCTATGACATGATGGACGTGGAGAAGAATGTTGTTTTAGGTAAGGAGTGTCCCTTTGTCCTGAAGGTTATGCGAATGTGGGAGCTGCTTCCCTTGTTGGGACTGCAGTGCTGTCCGTTATCCTGCTTGATGCAGTTGTGGCCGAAATATGGGATTAAAATGTAATTGCCCAGTGAGACACCTTTTTCAGAACCTGAGACCTTTAATCTGATGCTGTTTTCTGCTATTCCAAAAACTGTTTGCTGTGAAGGTCTCCCAGTTGTCATCCACTTGAGGATTGAGTTTTGTGCCCTAAATAACTTGGAACAGCTGGAGAGAGTAAATTTGGATTTTTATCCACCTGGCTTTATTTCTTAGGAATCTTTCTATGCTTTCACAGGCTGAAAGCTCCTCATCTGGATTAAAAGTAATGCATTGAGTAAATCACTTGTAAAGGGATCATGCTGCAGTCTTCCTTTAAGAATAAAACATATTGCACCTCTCTTTAAACAAAGTGTGGTTCTCTGTGCTGCTGCAGAGTTGTCTTGAGCAGAGCAGTGGCTTTGCTGGAGGTGTGCTGGGTGCTGTCATGTGTCCTCTGGTGCTGTGTTCTAGGACTGCCCCAGCCTGTGCTGGAGATCTACGATGCTCCTGTGTACAAGACCATGCTAGAGCGCATGCAGGGCTTCTTCTGCACACTCTACGACAACTGGTGAGGGCTCTTCTCGGTCGTGCAGCCTCTTTGTCGCTACCTGTCTCTGTCCTGTGCTCCCCAAGCAGCGGGTGAACTGTGAAAAGCCACTGTCCCAGAGCCTGCTGGCATTGCAGGGGAATCTCATTCACCACACAGGAACAGACAGGACTACAGTTTGATTATATTAAGAAATGGAACCCTTTTGCGGTGACGGGGGTACAGCTCCAAGGACTGTGGAGCTGCCTGCCTTCCTTCTGGATGTCTCTTGCATGAGTCTGGAGTTCTGGGAAGTGGTTGTCAAGCTATTGTGCTGGAGGTACCAGCAGTTTCTCAGAGTTCAATAAGGTTAAGGTGGAGAAAAAAACAGATGCTAACTTAAAAAGATATATGTAGATGTATACATTAGAAACTAACAGCTTAACTGCGTACACCATTGCCATCTCTCTGAGATCCCTATTCCAGACCATCCTAATCCTCTCGGAAGTGGGCTGAAACCTGTAAGAAGAAAAATAGAACTGTTGTCAACTGCATTAGCACCCTCTGAACCAGTGGTACAGAGGACACAGATGCATCCAAATAAGCAAGTGGGACCTACTCTTCCTGGCAGGTTTACTGATGGAAATGTAGATAGCTCTCTACAGATATGAATGGAGTTACTTTCCCTGAAAATAGTGGAGGTCCCTTAAGGTCTCAGCTCCCTGTTTTGGTTCATTAAGGAGGGAAGACACTGCCTTCTCTTCTGCTGCTCTCCTGATCTGATGTTCACCTGCTCCTCTGTCCCCTAGCTGTAACTTATACTGTCTCTCTTTCCACATGGCCTTGTGGGCTACTAGTTATCTCTGCATATTTCTAGTCTGAGGGCTGGTCCAGCCACATGGCTGTTCTCGACTGTGATACGGTCTTTAACTAGGTTGCTGCTGTGCCAACATAAAAAAAACCCTGCTCTAATTAGACCCCAGAAGCACTTGATCCCAGGACAAGCAGGTTCCTGGATTGGGACAGGAGTAGCTAGATGAATCAGATGAATCCATCAGGTAGTTGGTTTAGAATGGTTCAGGCAGTGTCCTGTTAGCAGCTTCAGGGAAATGTTGGACATTTCTCTACTGGGAACTATGCCTATGAGGAAGTCAAGGAACAAGTAAAGTACAATTCTATGCTAAAAAGAGAAGAAAAGAAATGCAGTCTACGCATGCTGATGCAGCTACCTACTTGCATTTGTATGGGGAAGTTGTACTGCTCAAAACGAGAAAGCATCCATCAACTCCAAGACCACAAGGCTGCCATACAGGATGAGTTCTGTAGCAGCAGTGAGAGGGTGCGTGTTGAGGGCACTGGGAGTTCTTGCACTAGGCAGTGCCCAGCAAACCTGAGACAAATCCATGTGCTGAGGTGAACTGTGGGAAACAGTCAGGGTTGTTAGCAGGCAGGAGCTGAGGCTACTGGTTCCTGGTTGGGTCCCTGTGACCTGTGTGTCTTGTGCAGTTACCACATCCTGGGCAACGCTGGCAACTCCCTGCAGCAGGACTTCTACGCCATGGAGGGCCTGGCAGAGCAGATCGTCAGCTCCGTCTTTGTCAACCTGGTGCACATCCCCGACCACCGCCTGCGGCCCATGCTTCATATCCTTGTGTGCAGGTGTCCCGACTCTGCGATTCCGGGGGGTGGGGCGGAACAGGCGGGGCGGGGTAGGTGATACGGGCAGGGTGGGGTGGCTGTCGAGCTCCGCCCCTCCTCTGGTGGGTGAAGGGAGGCCTGTCCTAGCTCTGAGGCGCTATGAGCTGCTTTGCCTTCCTCGTTTTGGTCTGGCGCTGCGCTCGAAAGCTGTTTTAAAGAGAGCGCTAGGCCAGTGTAGGCAGATGTGCAGTTCGGCGTGTGTTGCATTTCCTTAATGTTGACTTGTGCCCACGGGTCTTCATGAAGCAGCTGGTGCTGTCCTGCCCGCCGGAGTACTACGACAGCTTGCTCTGCCCGCTGCTCGGGCCACTCTTCACCTACCTGTTGCAGGTAAGGACTTTCTTGCTTCGCTCCCCAGTTGCCTGTCTGTGACCTCGAGATAGTGTGCTGTGTCATTCTGCAGGGAGCCACTGGGGACCTCTCTCCTGGACAGTTCTCTTCCCTACCCAGCCTTGCGTGTTTTAACCCCCCACACAGCTGTGTCTGTAGTTAATGACGAAATATGTGTCGTGCTTGAGGGGTTACAGGGGCAGATCCCCTGAAGAACCGCACAGGGTGTGGGAGGGCGAGTGAACAGAAGCGCTGGCATGTTGGATGTTTTCCTGACCTACCTGCCTAGCAAAAAACTTGGACAAAAACAGGGCTGGGCAATGGTCATATTTCACATACTGCTATCTGGTTGAAATATTCTGATGTGATGTGCCTAACCATACGCATACTGTCCATATGCTGTTGTTTTTCAATTTTCTTCTATAAATACAACTGAATCTACTTTTGTCATTATTAAAAGGCCGGATATGGCCATCCATTCACAGGGAGAGGCTTATTCCTGCTAAGGGTTGTGGCAAAATGGAAAATCTCAACAAATTGTTCAAACCCTTGATGCCAGCAAGGTTTTTTTTGCCTCCCTGAACCAAGGCGTGGTGATTTAGAGAGACTGTTGGAATCACTGTGGCCCTGAACATCATCTCTTTTTTTCTTCCCTCCAATACAGAGGTTTCACCAAAGGTGGCAGATTATCGATCAGAGGAGCAGTGCTTGGTAAGATTTGTGTTCTTGCCTCTGACATTTACTCCCCAACAGACTGGGCAGAGTAATGTCTTCAAGAGCACAGGACCCAGAAAGTTGTCACAAACTTATAGATAAAATAGCGGTTATTCATGAGAGAGACTTGTATTTAACTCTTCACTGTTGCATGGAAATTTTGATTTGTGTCATGAAGTCAAAGGGGCAGGTGCCCGAGTCTGGTGGTTCCTGCACTGTGTGACTGTCCTGAGTCTGTTTCTTGCTGCTGTCTGCAGTGGCGCTGAGGAAGAGGAGGTCTGCGAGGAGAAGCCGGTCACTCAGGAGATGCTGGAGGAGCAGCTGGTGCGCCTGGTGATTCGGGAGATCCTGGATCTGCTCAGTAAGTTCTGGCCGGTTGCAGTGGCTGGTTCTGTCACTGCTATGGTAAACCTGAAACGCTTTTGGATTTCATAACCTCTGCTTAGGGCTGTATGTTTGTGGTGTTTTTGTCTGTCTTTGGTGTTTTCAGAAATACAAAATGAAGTCACTTAAGTCAGTTTGAATTTTGTATTGTTGTTGTGTCCCAGTAGACGTTTTCTTTGGTAACCACTGGTGTGCAGGTTATCCAGAATGCACTTGGTCAGTCACTCTCTTATTGTAATCCCTGGGATAAAATTGGCAAATCTCCAAAAAGCTTTTCTCTAGGACAACAGGTGCTCTTGGCCATTCGTTCTGTTTCGGTGCAGTCCCTTACACAGGTGCACTTACAACTGGACTCTCTGCACTTGTGCATGTCCACTTAGCTGAAATAACAGCTGACCAGTGATTTTCTGTATTTCAGCGGTCACCTGCATATTGAAGAAGGCACCTGAATCTTCAGGAAATAAAGAGGAATTGGACGGTAAGGCAGATTGTTTCGCTTTCTGTTCTTAAAAATTAAAAACCGATCCCTAAAAAGCACTGTTTAATTTTTTTGCTATTCTTTTTAATTCTGGTCTACTAGAGGAGGAGATGATGGCCACGGATTCCTCTCAGCCCCCAGTCGCCCCGACATACCCCAGTGACGAGCTGACGGAACTGGGGAAGTGTCTGCTGAAACACGAGGTAACCAGCCAGGGTCACCCTCGGGATCAGGCTGGGACGAAGCTGACTGGCGTGAAGAATGTTCCTGCTTGATGTTTGCCTCTGCTCTTTCAGGACATATACTCCACCCTCCTCACCATTGCATTCAGCTGCCTGTCCTGGAAGGACACCAGTAACTGCCAGAGGACAGCGTCCGTCGTCTGCTGGACTCTTCTCAGACAGGTGGGTCACTCGTTACTGATGATCAGTACAACTGGGTCGGAATTGTTCTTAAATGGAGTAACAAATTGCCGAACCTGCTGCGAACACTGATCATATTGGGACGTCTCTCCCCTGTCTCCTGGCTCTGTGAGACTCTGCTCCGAGTGGCGTCTCCCCCCGTCGGTGGGAGACTCTGCTCTGAGAGGTGTCTCCCCCTGTCTGTGGGAGGCTCTGCTCTGAGAGGCGTCTCCCCCTGTCTGTGGGAGACTCTGCTCTGAGTGGCATCTCTCCTGTCTGTGTGTGCAGGTGGTTGGCGGGACTCTGCTGCCTGACGCCGTCAGCTGGTTCTACATGAGCGTGCTGAAGGGCCTGCAGGTGCACGGGCAGCATGAGGGCTGCAATGCTGCGCTCACCCAGCTGGCCTTCCAAATCTACGACGCCCTGGTAAGTCCTTGGGGCTCTGCGCCCCGCTCACAGGCCCAGACGGGCCCAGTGTTGGAACATCACTTCCTCATAGTTGCTTCGCCTCCAGCAGAGGCTCGAAGCTCAGCAGTCATCACTGCTTGCTTGCTCTGACCTCCGGTTACCCTGTTCACTAACTGTAGAAAACTCTTCTCCAGACTTATGGGTTGATGCCAAAATTCATGCGTTTGTTGAAAAATGCTTTTGAATTTGCTTTTGAAAAACGATCATCCTGAACAGGATGAATAGGTCATTCCGAACAGTGATATACAGGAAGATAAATAGTGGACTGTTTTAAACATTTTTTGAAGAGAAGGTTTTTAATATAGATGAATTAGAAGAGCAGGAATGGTTTGGGAAAAAGGTTTATTTCCTTCACTTTCCTTGTTTCTGGTCTTGTGTGTTTTCCTGGGTTCTTTGGTGCTGTTAAATTCTCGTTGATGAATGTTTCAGTAGAAGAGAGCTGAATATTCTTTTTGAAACGGCAGTCAAGCCCTGCACCTGCCTGGGATGCCACTGTGCACCAGTCTGAGTGCTGCAGAGGGCACTCTGTGTGCAGGTGTGAGGCACGCCCCCCCGCTCAGCCACTCTTGTGCTTCACAGAGGCCGCGCTACCCAGAGCTGCGGGCCGTCATGGTTCAGATCCCGAAACTCCAGATCGAAGCCCTCGACCTGTTCGAGCAGAAGGTCTTGAACCCCGTGCCTCAGAAGCAGGGGGACAAGAAAAGGAAGGATCAGTTCAAAAAGCTCATCACTGGCATTGTTGGGGTAAGAACAGTCGCAGCCTGAAGGTCATGATTTATTATTATTATTGCCCTTGTCTGGACACTCGCCTCAAAGCGCTTTACAGGTCATGGGGATCCCCTCCACCACCACCAGTGTGCAGCCCCACCAGTATGATGCGACAGCAGCCATAGTGCACCAGTACTCGCACCACACATCAGCTCTCAGTGGGGAGGAGAACAGAGTAATGAAGCCAGTTCATAGATGGGGATTATTATGAGGCCATGATTGATAAAGGCCAATGGGGTAACAATTTACACAATTAAAATCAAGGGTTTAGAATGTGAAAGGTGATGCACAGAGCAGTCTGATTAAATACACTTCTTTAAAAAGGTTTTAAATCTGGATTTTAAAGCACTCAGGTAAGATTTCTTTCTCTGATATCCTTGGGGATAGAATTCCAGATATCACACAGCAGATATGGGGCACAGCAGGAGAAGCTCCAGTCACCCATTGAATATAGACAAGCTTGGGAGACAGGAGAGCAGAGTCAGACGAATGAAGGTTGCGAGGTGGGGAGTAGGATGATAGTAGCTCAGAAAGGTACTGTGATACCAAGCCATATAAAGCTTTATAGGTGAGCATGAGGATTTCGACAGGAAGCCAATGCAAGGACTCTAGGACAGGAGTAATGTGATCACTTGCACGTGACCTGGTGAGGATTCTGGCAGCCGAGTTTTGGAAATACTGAAGGTTGTTCAGAGTGGATTTAGACACCCCCACACTGAGGCAGGGGGCTTGCTGGCACCTGACTAAAGGGAAGGTTTATTTGGAAATGAATCGTCTCTGTAACAGTATTATGCAAAAACGTTTTTAGCATGTTATCGAAAATAGTTCTTGAGGTTAAAGAAAATCCCTGATGGGTTGTTTTGGAAGTCTTCCTGATTTGTAGATACAAATCTGTTTTTAAGATGGTACTCTTTGAAGATGGTTTGCTACCTCACTGTAACAGTTGGATTAGGCTCCTCAGTGTCACCTGGGAATGAGCAGCTTCTTGTTTCCTGTCAGAAACCAGTGGGACAGCAGTTCAAGAAGGAGGTTCACATCCGCAACCTCCCTTCACTCTTCAAGAAGGTGAAGCCGGAGAGCGGTGTGGAAGTTGTGGACGGTGAGAATTCGGATCTCTCATCTCTCTTCACACCCCAACCCGAAGACCTCTAGGAAGAGACCAACGCCTGCCAGGATCCCAGCGGCCATCAGCCTGCATCCACTGGACTTTCCAATCCCCAGCCCAACCCGAACGGCGCGTGACTTTTTTTAAAGAGTAAATGTAGAATACATATTTCATTGTACGACAGCACCTGTATTTTCACGGCGTTGGGACCATTGGGTTTTTTGGTTGGTTGTTAATTTGGGCCTTTTCCCCCCCCTTCGGCAGTTACTGTTACAGTTTATGTAAATTCTGTCCAGGGGCGAGTATTTTCTTATTGTTAGCATGTACACGACGGAGATTTGCCTAAAAAGAGCTGAATGGGGTATTTCCAGGAGCTCAAGATGTCCTGAGATCATTTAGTGCTGTTCATCTTCACAAAATCCGCAATGTTTTAGTCGTGACATTATGTGAAAGCAAATAATTTTAAATGTTCAGTTCTTTTTTTAAAGATTCCTTTACTCCCACCAAGATGAGGATGAGGTAATGACTAAAACAGGATGACTGTTTAAGCTGACAGTCTTGTTAAAAGTTGCAGGTAAAAACAACCTAACTAGAAGGCATCAGTAGGGATGGGTATTTACATTTAAAGGACCTCATACAGTACATCTGAATAGTGCAGAGAACAGGACAGTTAAAATCCTTTTCTCTTTTCAGTCTGGTATGGTCTTTGAAACCTAAGTATACAAAACCTCTTTATTTTGATGTTCAGTATTTTATATATTTTTTAAAACTATTTATGTGTGATACAGATGAGACTGGGGTAGATTTTAGGTGCAAGTTGTTCATGCAGTGTCAGTCCTTGGACATCTGTTCTAATACAGACAGGAGAGTGGCTGAGAGAGTCTCTCTTTCAGAAGCTCTCTGCTGCCTGACTGCATTTCTTCCTCCTTTCAGCCTCGTTTGGCAGCAGTTTTTGAACACATTTCAAAATGTGTGATCTTGCACTACACTCATCGGATGGTACTCGTTAGTAATGTTAATTTTAATGATCAGGCTTGTGTGACAAGTAATGCCACTTAGGTCACTATAGTTTGTGGATAAGCCTGGCAGTAAATGATGAGCCCTTCAGAAAAACCTTGCACTTGGTAGTAGATACTCTAAGTAAGCGAGTGCAGTTAAAAAGTGGCTGATTTGATGTTCTGTGTTAGGTGTGGACAGGGCTCCCAGTTTTCTGCACAGGAGCCTCACATCTTAAGTGCAGCCAGCTAAAGGCCTTTAAAATTGAATGCATTTCTCCAGCCACTCTTGAGAAATATCTCTGCCAAAGTCTGTTTTTCCTTTTTATTGATGGATTTTGGTTGGCAAGGACTACATTCCACTAAAGTTCCAATTTTTTCCCCCCTTTCCTGTACATTTTTCAGAGTTGCCTTCTGTTCGTTTTATTTTTTACTGGTTGTAGAACACTAACTGAAACAGATTTGTACAGGAATCAAACCAGTATCAGCAAGTATGTTGTGCTGTTGATATTATTTTAGCATTTTCAATAAATGTAGACGACGACGTCCTGTCCTTTCTCCTGTCTTCTGTGAAGTTGCTGCAGAAACTCTTGGAGCTCCTGTGAGAAACAAGCAGCCGTCAGTGGAGAACAGATAAACTGAGCCACTCGGATGGGTCTGCTTGCAGGGCATCATTGTGCCACAGAGAATTGCAGTTTGTTCTCACTTGTAACCACTAGTTAAAGCCAGCTAGTGATCTTCGTCACATCAACGGTCTCAGACTTGATTTAGTTCCCAGACGAGGAGCACTGTGGTTTTTATCTGAAGTTATCCCTTGCTGTCATGCTGACAGGACACGGGCAGGGGGTAGTAAACCACCTGTCCTTGCAGCATGTCTGAGCCCTGGCTGGAGCAGGGGAAGGTGCCAGGGGGAGTTCTTGGCATCGCTCTCGGCAGGGGAGATGGTGAGCTGTGCCGGCCGACCTCATCGTATTCAGCGATGGCAAACTGTGCCACCTACTGGACATCCTTCGCTACAGCTGAGCAGGTCCTTGTTCTGCTTTACCAGGTGGAAAACACAGCAGGCTGTCAGGTTTTATCATAGGGATGTGCAGTAGAATTTTTTACCTGAGCTCCCAGTCTCAATCGAGAGTCTTGTTTAAAAGACACTGCAGTCCACAGAACTTCATGCAGTCTCTCCTCAACCTCTGTATCAGGTTTGCTCAATTTTTGTCTAAATACAATTTCTGATGAATGGACACAAGGGAGAAAGACAGTGTCTCAAACACCCCCACAAAGAATGGTTTTTCCTTCTGCAGTGGTCCAGTTAGTTAATTTTTGGGGTTTGCTCACTCAGATGTTTGTGTCACGGATAACAAAAACTGCCCTGCTTTTTACAAAATGGATGACTGAAATAGTCACCCTGTAGTTAAGAAATGAGCTGGAACAAAAACCAGAAGACACAGGGTACTCTGGATTGGGAACCGCTACTCAACTCGAGGTGGTGAAGGTTAGTGGGCAGGATCTTGAAAAGGAAGGTTTGGTGCCACTCAGGATCAGTCCACAGAGAACGAGAACTGATGTGGTTGTGCAAGCGTGGTCAGGACCCCAGGAGCTGAGTGGGTCTGGTCAGGATCGGGGTCAGGGGTGGTGTACTAGCAGATGGCACTCCTCTCTCGGGACCACAGTCCAGGGAGAGGACTGCCGTGGCAGATGCCCTCCAGCAGGTGAGAAGTTAAACTGGGAAGCGGAACGAAATTTGTGCTTATACTTTGGGCCTGTGCTTATACTGGAAATACTGTGCTTTTTGAGCACAATTGAGAATGATTTGGAAATGTGCAAAAGCACGTCAAGAATTATAACTGAAAGACATCTTCACTTTATTAACCATGATTCATATTTACAATATTTCTTAGAAATCGATTTTTCTTTTTCAAATTATGTTCTTCTAGGTGGGTTACATATTGACTGTCCCTTTAAAGACTGGACTTTTTCCAAAGTGATTCATACATTTTAGTTGCAATAATCATGTTTTATGTATGTTTGGATGAAAAATAACCAACCACAGTCAATCCTATTAGATGAGGGGATTTGGGACACCACTGTCTGTGCATGGGAGAGATGTTGTGGCTGATATAAATCTGTTTTTCAAGCCATTAAGATGGAGAGCTGCATCCCTTCTAGTGATCAACTCTTTTGCCTGTACTAATTTCCCCTTTGACCTGAAGAATGTGGAATATATTGCAGTTTCTGCTGAGGCTTAACAGTATTATCTCCTTGTCCACATGGCAGGCAGTTGGTAAGAAACGTGCTGAATTTTTGTAATGTGGGACCTTAGAGAGGGTGATAGCTGTCCATAAATTAGTACCCTGTGAATTCATTATTGCTGAAGAGACAGATTTTCAATTACTTCCGTCCCCAATGTAAGCTGCCTTGTCTTGCTTCTGTCTTGCTCAAGCTTTTCCTCAAGGATTACAGGCATTTTCAGATTATGTCTTAATATCTGTCGTTGTCTGTGACCCCCTTTTTCTCCCTTTGGTTACGTCTCTAATAGATTTACCGGCAACAAATGCTCAGAATGAGAGTAATGACCTCCAAGCACATTGTTTGCATGGCAGGCCCAGTCTGATCTTCCTAAAGCCTGGCTTCCCATTGCTGTGCCTGTGTCCCGTGCATCTCTCTGCCTGCTGCGTCAGAGCCAGGCCAGGCTGAGCCTGCTCTCTCCGCTGCTGAAATTCCACTCAGGAAAGAGCGCAAGTACTTGAGTGCGTTGGTCTCCAGGTTAAGACCAAAACTGATCTGTTCAGTTATTCTGTGTCCACATTTCTCAAGCTCAGAGCAACAACCGTGAAAATACAGTGGCAATACTAGTAGTCTGGATTTATATAGAATCAGTCTTTGATAGTCATTGTAATCAATAGGATGCAGAATGTTAATATAAATATTGGTAGAGTTTAAATGTTCAAAGAGAATTTCTGATGGGCTGCAGAAAGGAACGTGACACTGTGCTGGTGGATAACAGCACATACAAGACAGCCTGGTTTCTCAAACGTCCAACAGCGCTGTGAATCACATGGAGCCCAACTCTGGATCCTGTCCCTTTGTTGGTGTGCTGATTGTTAAACAAGACTTGTGATCATCCTGACAGGTAAATTATATCTTTTGAAGTCACGCAGCATTTGGCTCCTCTGAGGCTCTTGGCTTCTTTTTTGTTCACAGTTCAGGCTCTGTAGGGTCTGTTGAATGCCGGAGGGCGCCGGATTTTGTTGGATGTGGCCTTTGGAACTGGGAATTTGCTTCAGCTTAGGAGGGATGCTGAGCATTTTTGTTGCATCATTGTCCGTAGCTCATCTCCTGGGACAGAAGGACCCAGGAGTTCAATGCATCTGCTTCCTTCCACAGCTGGTGAATCATTAAGTGCAAATCGAAGACCTTGAATGAGACACTCGGTGATTCTGTCCATCTCCACTTCTGTAGGCTTCAAATTAGACCCAGGAGGGCAGAATACCAGCCCTCTTCTTTCCATAAACTGATCAGGATAACAGATAATTTATGCACCACTAAGGGATTGACTGGGGAGGGAACAGAGGGGTCTGAGGCCCCAAAGTGTTGCTTTCTCCCAACAGGAGTTTGTTCTCTTTTCTGTGCCCACATGGTCTCCTGTTATCACATTGTTAACTGCAGTACAGATCTGTGAAGCGCAAACTTGTGTGTGAGGCACTATAGGCAGTCTCTGTTACCTGATACACTGTCCTTACCTGCCCTGAGCCTGTCACTGAATGTTGTTATGTCACACAGAGCCGTCTATCCGGCTACATTGCAAGGTGTCGAAATGCCCCCTGCAGTGTTAATCACCCACATGATCTGTACAGCATGTTTTCCTATACCCAGTGTGAATCACTTCGGACCTGTCCATGTTCAATTTCACTGCCTCGTGTCTGCCCATTCTACAAGGAAGTCTTTTGTAAACCTTTGTTGCCCTGTTTGCCAATTCCTAGAGCGAACACTTTGTTTACTAACTGTTGAAATCCAACTTGTTGGTGTTGGTCAGAAGCTCAATGGATGTAAAACGGATCCCATAGGTACACCACAGCTTACGTCTGCTCAGTCAGACAAGGTGCAGTCTCCTGTTAGTGTGGATTCCTATTGCTCATTAATTTGTGAATCAGCCTTATATGAGGAACCTTATTAATAGTTTTCTGAAAGTCGGACTGTATCAGGTTGTGTTG